TTGGGATTAGATCCAGAGTTCTTAGTGGCAACCCCCCACAGCTGAGATATCTCTCCAGGAATTCAGTTGCTGTCTGTGGGTGTCCAGCTAGCCCTTTGGCACCTCCGCCCCTCCTACCAGTCTCCGCATTCGGTACTCAGGTATCAGGTTCTCTCCTGTGAGTTTTTGGTTGGTCATTCAGGAAGTTTTTCTGTATTTTAATTGTAAATTCCAGTTTGTTCTGGGAGCATGTTCGTGCAACATTCACTCACTCTACCACCATTTTTAATACTCTCCTTTAGTTTGTTAATGTGGTATATTAACATTTATTGATTTGCATTTCATCCTTTTGCCCCTGGAATGAATCCCACTTGATTGTGAACTATGATTCTTTTAATGTATTATACTTGATTTGCTAGTGTTTTGTTTAGGATTTTTGCATGTATATTCATCAGAGATATTTGTCTGTAATTTGTATGTATGGTATCCTTGTCTGATTTTGGAATCAGGGTAATGTTAGCTTCATAAAATGAAGTAAGAATTATTGCCTCTTTTCCAAATTTTTGGAAGAGTATAAGGAGGATCTGTATTAAGTCTTCTTTAAATGTTTCGTGGAATTCAATAGTGAAGCCATCTGGTCCTAGACTTTTATTTTTTATTTTTATTTTTTTATTTTAAAAATATATATTTTATTGATTTTTTACAGAGAGGAAGGTAGAGAGATAGAGAGCTAGAAACATCAATGAGAGAGAAACATCGACCAGCTGCCTCTTGCACACCCCCTATCGGGGATGTGCCCGCAATCAATGTACATGCCCTTGACCGGAATTGAACCTGGGACCTTTCAGTCCGCAGATTGACGCTCTCCCACTGAGCCAAACCGGCTTCTGCTAGACTTTTATTTTTGGACAATTTTTGATGACTGTTTTAATTAAGTCTGTTTAGATTTTCCAGTTCTTCTAGGAAGTTTATATACTAGTAGTTCTAAGAACTTGTTCATTTATTCTGGGTTATTGAATTTGATGACATACAGCTTTTCGTGATATGCTTGTATAGTCTTTGGTATTTCTGTAGTGTCTGTTGTAACTTCTCCTTTATTTATAATTTTGTTTTTATTTGAGACTTTTATTGGTGATTTTTGCATCTTTAGCTAGAGGTTTGTTAATTTTATTAATTCTTTTAAAGAACCAGCTCTTTGTTGCATTATTTTTTCTATTGTTTTCTGTATAATCTAATTCTCTAATTTTTATTTCTTTCCTTCTACTGGGTTTCAGCTTCATTTGTTATTTTCCTTTTCCTTTAAGGTGAAATATTAGGTTGTTTATTTGAGATTTTTCTTGTTTCTTGTGGTAGGCCTGTAATGCTGTAAACTTTTCTTTTACTACTGCTTTTGCTCCATCCCCCAAATTTTGATATTTCCTATTGTCATTCTCATTTGACTCTGTGTATCTTTTGAACTCTCCTTTTATTTCTCCTGTTACCCAGTAGTTGTTTGGTATCATGTTGTTTAATATCCACATGTTTGTGATTTTTTTTCAGCTTTCTTTTAGCAGTTGATTTCTAGATTTAAATTGTTGTTATCAAAGAATATGCTTGGTATTGTTTCAATCTTCTTAAATTTGTTGAAACTAGTTTTGTGCTCCTACATATAATAATATGGGTTAGCCTTGAAAATGTTCCCTGTGCACTAGAAAAGAATGTATGAAATGGTGTTCTGGGATGAAAAGCTCTGTAAATATTATGTTCATTTGGTTTAATGTGTTATTTAAAGCTGTTTTGATTTTCTGTTTGGATGATCTATCCATTGTTCTCAATGGGGTATTTAGTTCCCCTATTATAATTGTATTAGAGGCCTAATGCATGAAGATTCATGCAAGAATGGGCCTTCCTTCCCCTGGCTGCCAGCACCACATTCACTCCAGCTGGAGCAGCCTTTCCGCCTTCCCATGAAGCCCAGAGCTGCTAGGACAGTGTGGAACGCTGGCATCATTGCTGTGGTGATGGTGCAAGCATCCTGCCCCTGGCCACTCGATGCCTGTGTATGCAAATTAACCCACAATCTTTGTTGGGTTGATTTGCATACTCACTCCTGATTGGCTGGTGGGTGTCGTGAAGATACGGTCAATTTGCATGTTTCTCTTTTATTAATGTAGTTTTTTGTCAGTTTCTCCCTTTAGTTCTGTTAGTAGTTGTTTTGTATATTTTGGTGCCTCCAGGCTGAATGCATATTTATTAATAAATATGATTTACTGATGTATTGTCTCCTTCATCTTTATAAAATGGCCATCTTTGTCTCTTGTTACCTTTTTTATCTTGAAATCTATTTTGTGTGATATAATTATGGCTACTCCTGCTTCCTTCTGGATGCCATTTGCTTGGAGTATAACCTTGCACTCTTTCTCTTTGAATCCATGTTTGTCTTTGCAGTTGAAATGTGTTTCCTAAAAACAGCAAGCATATGTAGTTGGGTGTTTTTTAAAACAAAAATAAAACAAACATCCCACTCTGTGCCTTTTAATTGGTGAGTTCAGTTCATTTACATTTAGGGTGATTATGGATATATGAGACTGTCCTATCTCCATTTTATCTTTTGTTTTCTGATAGTCTGCGCCACCATTATTTTTTTTATCCTTGTGTTCCTGTCAGTTATTCTATGATTTTTTCCCTCTGTTTCCCATCTTTTTACATTATGTGTCTCAGTTTTGGATTTTTTAAAATATATTTTTTATTGATTTTGGAGAGGAAGGGGGAGGGAGAGATAGAAACATCAATGATGAGAATCATTGATCAACTGCCTCCTGCACACCCCCTACTGGGTATCAAGCCCACAACCCGGGCATGTCCCCTTGACCGGAATTAAACCTGGGACCCTTCAATCTATAGGCTGATACTCTCTATTCACTGAGCCAAACCAGCTAGAGCTAAGTTCTAGATTTTTACTAATTTCTTAATCTTCAAAATTTCTGATTTTTTTTTTAATAGTTTCAGTGTCTTTGCCAAGGAACTCTTCTTATCTCTTGTCTGTATTTCTGTGCTCTTTGAATTACTCCTCGGACTTTTCTTATATCTCATTGAGTTTTTTCAGAACAACAATCTTGAGTTCTCTGTCATTTAAATCATAGTCTTCCAAGTCTTCTAAATTTATTTTCTGGAGATTTTTCATTTTCTTTCTGAACTTCTTTGTTACTTTGGTTATTTGTTGTGATTGATAGATTATTTTTCAGCCTGGGAATTTATGGTTATGAAATATTTTTTTAAAAGTATTTTACTCTTCACTGTTTAGCAGTTTGATAAGTAGATGTCTTTCTTTTGTTTTCCAGAAGGTGGTGCTGAAGCACAAGTTTTAATTTTTTCTTACCTGACTTTAGGGTTACCTATGGGATAATGTGGCCTTGGTTGTACCCATATTCCTTAGGAGGTGGGCAATGCCCTTATGAAATGGTTGCTCTGGTCTACAGGCACCACCCTGGTGGTGGGATGTGACGGGTCTCTGTGGGTCTCTTGGCCTTATTTCCACTGCCTTCTCCCGGTAGCCAGAAGTTGCAGGCAGAGCCCATCTGTCTGAGTTGACAAGGCTACTACCAGGTCTACAGGATGTGTGGGGGAGCAACTGGGGGGGAAAACAGGTTTGGGTGTCTATAGATTTTTTTCTTTTTGATAGGTTTAGCTGCAATGAATATAAGACCACTTAGGCTGGAAAATTTTTCCTGACTTTCGGTGATCTGCCAAGAGGATTTTACTGCTGGCAGACCAGAGGAGGACGAGAGGGCAGGTTCCTGAATCTGGAATCCTCTGTCTGATGATGATGGGTTTGGAGTGCTGCACTGTTTCTCTGCCCCGGCCCTGAGATCATCCTCATGTGTGCAGGCCTAGCCTCCATTGCTGTCTCTACCTTTTCAGTGTGCTCTGTGGTAACCCCTCCCACTATCACCCTTCACTGGTAGTGTATCAGCTGGGGCCCTGCAACTCTTATCTTTATCCTTCCCCATCCTGTCTCTCCTGTTCACCTGATAGGCTCACCATGGCCAGATGTCTGAATGCATGTATCTCTCAGGTGTGTTTGTGTGTTGAATAGGGAAATGGTCATTTGTTGATTACAGCTGTCCATTCTGTTGTAACTTCATAGGACTCTATGAATTGTAATTCACTAGGGGATTTACAGTGGCTTTTCTCAATTAGGTATTATATTCTTTTGTCTACTTATTTTATTTTTTATATGTTCTTATTGGTTTCTGAGATGAAGGGAGAGTGAGAGAGAAAGAGAGAGAGAAACATTAATGATAAGAGAAAAACATTTATTAGCTGCTTCCTGCATGCTCCCTGCTGGGGAGCGAGCTCGCAACCCAGACATAGGCATTGGAATCGAACTGTGACCTCCTGGTTCATGGATTGATGCTCAGCTACTGAGCCACACCAGCTAGGCTGTCTACATATTTATCATTTTTATGTCATTTCTTAGTACTTATAATTTGCGACTCCTTTTTAAAGTAGTTTTTAATTGTTTGCAGTTAAAAATACATAAACTGGTGTAACCTGAAGATAATTCTTATGTAAATTATGCTGTGGAAGAGGGAAGGGCCTTTTAAAAACTACTAAACGAAAACGAAGAAGACGAAGCTAATTGCAAATAGACTGTTTACCAATCAGGTGGAGTAAAGTTCCTGCCTTAAAGTAGGACACAACCGTTGTTACAGTGACAAGTGTTACAGCCAGCCCATGGAAGGATCCCATGAGGCGGCCTCTTGTCTCCAAGCCTGTGAGCTTTGGCCTTGAAGGGACCGGAGCTTCAGAGTCACGGCCATTGAGGGTTCCTATCCTTGTTTTAAATTAAGCTTTTTAGATGGAATGAATGTGATGTGATATTCTTTGTCTCATAGCATATTTTTATTTTAATTTGTATGTGGCTTGTGTTTTGGTAACTGGTTTTATTATAGTTGAAGCTTTTAAAACAAAGGATATATTTCACATAATTCAATCAACACTTGTTTACGCTCATTCTTTTATACTTCTTCCACTTTTAGCACAGACTGGCCACTCAGCTCTCCCAGTCCAGTAGATCCACCATCGGTTAAAATATGCAGAATGGATCCTTTCTCTACAAAGGAACGTATTGAAATCATAGCTCCTTCACCACAAAGAAGCAGGTCTTTTTCAGTAGGGATTTCCTGTGGCCAGACAAGTTCATCTGAGAGCAACTTTTCTCCACTGGAATTTTCAGGACTTGGCCATGGAGATACCAGTGCATCAGTGGGTGCAGTGCACAACCTTCAGGACAGCTGCCTCACAGACTGTGAAGTGGAAGATGGCACCATGGAAGGCAGTGAAGAGGGGCACTCCTTTGAACTTTGTCCCTCTGAAACTTCTTCTTATGTAAAGTCCAGGGAGAGAACCTCCTCTTCCATAGTGTTTGAAGATTCAGGCTGTGATAATGCATCCAGTAAAGAAGGGCCCAAAGCTAACCAACTGCATGTTGGCAACCATTATGCTAATAAACTAACTGCTGTCAAGCATTCCAGTAGCAAATCTTCGGAACCTAGTTTGTCTATTTCTCTTCCAAGACCAACCACTTTAAGTCTAGATCTCACTAAAAACACTGCAGAAAAACTGCAGCCCAGTTCCCCAAAAGTATATCTTTACATTCAGATGCAGCTGTGCAGAAAAGAGAATCTAAAGGACTGGATGAACAGCCGGTGCAGCATGGAGGAGAGAGGGTGGGCCACGTGCCTGCACATCTTCCTGCAGATCGCAGAGGCTGTGGAGTTCCTGCACAGTAAGGGGCTCATGCACAGAGACCTCAAGGTTGGTACTGTGAAACCTCACCCATGAGTTTCAAGCTGATGTTTTATGCAGTACTTGCAGTATTTGTCACTTTTTAATGGAAGTACCCTAAGAGTGGAGGAGAGTGGAGGCATTGAGAGCAGAGATCTGGGAATGTAAAAATAAGAAATCTCATGATTTAAAAAACTCAGGTAGACCCTATAGTTGAGCATCAACCTATGAACATGTCCAGGTTGCAAGCTTGATCTCTTATCTCTCTCTCTCCCTCTCCCTTCCTCCCTGAAATCAATAAAAATATATTTAAAAAAATAAAGATCTCAGGCAAATCATGAATTATCCTTTATAATACGTTTATGTTTGTTTTTCAGTAAAAAGCATTCCCAATCTGGAAAAAAAAATCTTACGTAAAATTAAATACCATTTTTGATGGCTTTCAGTAACGTTGGCACAGGTTCCCAGAGGGTCCTCAGTAGCATAATGAAAGGGCTCAAGTGGAAGGAGAGACACAGATCCCTTCATTAGCCAGCTCTGAATTAGGGCCAGTTGCCATTCTTTTTGCCCCTCTTCCTGAGCTGTTCAGGTTTTGGGGAAGGAGGTGAGAAGCAGGATGATAAAAGGTGGCAAATGGTTAGCCACATGATGTTTGCAACTCTAACACCTTTGATTCTATTTTAGTAATGAATATTGTAGCCATGCAATATGCTGCATTACCTAAGATTCCTACTAGAACATGTAGTGTGTCTTCAGTGTGTGCTTCTGAAATACCTCTATGGAACTTTTAGTAACTAATTTCTGACATATTCCATATGCTCATAGTGATTATCATAGTAAACATAGATATGTAGTGAAATTTATAAATAAAATAAATATTTTCCTGATGGAAGTTGGTTAAATTCTTGAGAGATTTGGATTCATTTTAGGTATTTTCAGTTTTGTTTTATGTAACCAAAAACTTGTTTCAGGCACCAAAGTAGCTATTTGTACAAGTAATTTTCTTTATAAAGTCAGCAGTGGGTTTTTTTTGTTTTTTTTTTTTAAGAGTTTGGAATAATAGGAACTAAAATTAGAAATAATTCCTATTTTCCCAAGTAATTGTTATTGAATTATAATATATATACCTAATAACCACATTCTGGATGTGGCCAGAACTAATTGCCAGGAGTCATTCTGCATGAGTGAGAAGTTCAAAGATGGTTGGTTTTGGTTGGAAGGGAGAAGACAACTTCCATGAGGTTAGATGCCCCTAACCCAAGTGAGTGTTGGCTATTGGAATATGGGTACAGTTTTATCATTTGGTAGGAACAGTTATCCAATGTGCACATTCTTCTTGTACTGAACACTTACTGTACAACCAAAATGTTATGTGAAAGCCATGTAATTATGTTCTTACCATTTTTGAACATTCTGCTGATTTTACAATGTTTATAAGATACTAGAGGCAAGGTGCACAAAACTTGTGCACTTGGTTGTGGGGAGCCCTCAGCCTGGTCTGCACCCTCTTGCAGTCAGGGAGTCCTTGAGGGATGTCTGACTGATGGCTTAGGCCTGCTTGTGGGCCTAACCCGGCAGTTGGACATCCTTAGTGCTGTGGAGGCAAGAAAGGCTCCTGCCACCGTTGCTGTACTCGCCAGCTGTGAACCCGGTTTCTGGCTGAGCAGCGCTCCCCCTATGGGAGTGCACTGACCACTAGGAGGCAGCTCTTGTGTTGAGCATCTGCCCCCTGATGGTCAATGTGCATCATAGCGAGTAGCCGTTCCACCATTGACTTACATATTAGCCATTTATTATATAGGATTGGTGAATATTTATTTAATGTTACAATATTGTCTAAAGGTTTCTCTTGTATTTCTCTGTGCATCAAAAAAAATGTCAAGAAAATTAATTTCTTCTTTGTTTTTGTAGATATCAAAAAAGTATTATTTTGTAAAAATAAACTTCTCTTAAAGATTTCTAGTGAACCAGAAAGAAATTCTCCCAATAATTTTATTCTTAGTCAAAAAGCTGTGTGTCCTGTCCATTCTGACCTAAATCTTTGAGCTCAATGTGAAACCTCCTAAACACTCTCCCCTTTTTATATTTTGGTCAAATTCTTCAGACCGACTTCTAATCCTCTCTTTACTCAAGCTGCACTGGGCATTTCTCAGTGTTCTCATAGAACCTGGTGGTTCTTTTTCGTAATCCTCACTACAGTTCTATTATTTATCCCCTGGTTTCCACAGGACTGAAGCACAATGTCTGATACATTCTATATACTCATATAACTTTTTTTTATTCTCTTGTTTGCAATCAAAAGCACTTATAATAATTTAATCAGAAATGAAATATATTGGCTCATGTAACTGAACTGTCCAAGATTCAAGGAAAGATTCAGTGATGTGGCCAGAACATGGTCTCTCCTCGCTCTGTTTCTTGTTTCCAGTTTCAGGCAGGCTCTCCCTTCACAGTTTAAGGACCGCTGTCAGCTATGTGCAGGGCTGCGCGTTTTAAGTCTTTTGGAGTGATGAGATAGGGCGTGGGAGGAAAGTATCCCTCTTCCCTACCATTGACCAGAAGTCCTGAGTTTCCTCCTAACTGAAAAGTCAAGGACACATACCCATCCCTAAACCAGTGTCCTGGCCAGGGGATAGGATTACACTGATGGTTTATGCATCCTCAGGATGTGCAGCCATGGGTTGCTGCACAGCTGAGAAGAAGAGTTCCAAAAGTCCAGTCAGGATGCTTCTGGTGAAGTATAGGGGAGTAGATGCTGGAGAGCCTAAAAATTAAAAAAAGAAAATTTAAAAAGAAAGTATATTACAGTGTTCAGTAATAACACCAGATGATGGGAGGACAAGAGCAGTAAAGTTTAAGGCAGCTTTCTCCAAGGTTATTTGTGGGAGAGCAAAAGGTTATTATTACCATAAATTTTGGTTATGTGTAATAACGTCATTGCTTCAAAGTCACAATTGTATAATGCCATTTTAGAGTTTGGAAATAAAATATTATTTGTCTGGCAGGATTTGAAGCCTGATGAAATACAATTTCCTGAGCTAAATGGATTTCTTTTTCCTAATTTTAAGGGCTATAAATGGTGATCCTGTTAGCAGGGGTTAGACTAGGCTCTGAAGGAAGATGATATAGTTCATGTGGTGGACTTTGAGAAATTTGGTTAGCTCTCTCAAACAGTTGCGTGTGAGCATTTATAATTTGGACCAGCGGCCTTGGAATACATGAGAGCATGTGGATATTAGAGAGGCAGCATTGGTTGTAGTTAAGAACTCTTGTTCTCTGTGGTAGCCTGCTTTCCCCCTCTCGGACATAAACCCAAAATCAGTCTATTTTATTCATTCATCAAACAATAGTGATTAGCTACGATAAGGCACATGCTATACTGAATGCTGGACCTGTGGTATTAAAGCAGACATCCTCTTCTCATGGAGCCAGACTGCCTGAGTTTGAATTTCTGCTCCACCACTTACTACTACCTGGATAACATTGGGCAGTTTACCTAACTTCTCTGGGCCTCAGTTTGCACATTTGTAAATGAAAGACTAATAGAACTAAGTGAGTATTGCATGAGTTAATAGTAGTAGCCAACTTAGACTGGCTTCTGGCATATTTTAAGTGCTATTTATGCATTTGATAGTATTGTTACTATTATTATATTCATCACTTCAGTTATAAATGTAGAGAAGCTTGCCGGGGGGAGAATATATAGAATAATAAGACTGAGCATTAAATACCTTGGGCCCTAGGTAATGTGAGTCTCCAAGGGGTTAAGTAGATGCTGTTTGCTCATTCATGTGGTAAATGGCTAAGGAAAATGCTGACCCCTGTGCTAGCTTTTCTTGACTCACAGCACTTGTCCAGCATGGAAGGATTAGTGGTATTTTCATATTAACTCATACCTGAGGATATCTAGTTTCTTGTATTTATTTTCTGTTGTCATTTTAATAAATTCTCTTCACTTTCTTTTTCTGTATACATCCATTGTGCTTTTGTCTGTTTTATTTTTTTCCAGCCTTCCAACATATTCTTTACAATGGATGACGTGGTCAAAGTTGGAGACTTTGGATTAGTGACAGCAATGGACCAGGATGAGGAAGAGCCAATGGTTCTGACCCCAATGCCAGCATATGCTCGGCACACGGGACAAGTAGGGACCAAACTTTATATGAGCCCAGAACAGGTGAGTATTTTTGTTTTCTTTCTTAATTAAAAACAGATTTTTAGCTGGAACTGGTTTGGCTTAGGACTGAAAGGTCCCAGGTTTGATTCTGGTCAAGGGCATGTACATTGGTTGCGGGCCCATCCCCAGTGGGAGGTGTGCAGGAGTCAGCTGGTTGATGTTTCTCTCTCATAGATGTTTCTAGCTCTCTATCCCTCTCCCTTCCTCTCTATAAAAAAATCAACAAAATATAAAAACAAAACAAACCCCCCACCCCCACAGATTTTAGTATGACAGCAAGCTAGATATGTCCCATGAATCTCCATCTATGTTCTACTTAAGATACCCAATAAAATGAAATCTGAAAAGTATGAAAACTGGTAGTAGTTTTCTACATGTATACAGCTAGGGGACAGTTTCTGCAACTTGCATTGGGGATGGGTTAAAAACATACACAATGCGTAAAACATGCTCACTCTTTCAACCATAACCTAACAGCAACCAGAAATTTATAGAGACTTTAAACCCCTCCCATATTTAACTCCAGTTCACCTTGTGTAAATGGTGTAGGAACTGTTATCAAAGAAATTAGAGCCAGAGGTACAGTATTGAGCTGTTGTCTATAGAAATTCACAGGCAACTTCCAGAACGTACTGTGACAGGAGATAAAGGTTGGAATATCTTGTCGGTGGATGCTGAGTCTCCCACAGAACAGGACAGGACAGAGCCTGGAAGAGTGGTGGGAACAGACTGTGCTGGGAGCTTCAGAATAGCATGCCCAGTCACCATCAGATTAATGATGTTCACAAGCTTATTTATGCTTAGATCAGCCATTCTCACATTTTCTGGTCTCAGCGTTGTGGGTGGGAAACAGGCCCTTCCAGGGATTTCGAGAAAAGCATTTTAAAGACCCATGCAGGGAAGATTTTATTGTGGCAAGTCTGATGCAAAATCAAAGGAGTTCCCCTCCTGGCTTCCCATGTCCCACCTGCCTCCATCCTGCCATGGCATAAGTCCCACCATCTCTTCAGCAGGGCCAAAACAAAACCCAGTGCCCAGAGTTTCTGCTTCAGAGCCCTTTGGAGCCTGAGCAGTCTGCAGCAGGCTCCAGGTGGCCACTAGAAACGCATAGTTGCATAATCTCTGGCAGGAGAGATGCAAACAAAATGAGGTGAGTGTAGGTCTGAGAGAGAGAGAGAGAGAGAGAGAGAGAGAGAAGGAACAGGAAACAGGATCACGTGCTTTGTTCTCTTGGGATTTTAACCAGGAGCTTTTTCAACTTGCCAAGATTTTCAGGCTTCTGATGGGTCCAATGATCCCTTTCCCAGGTTAGACTGACAGGCATCTAGGGTCAAGCATCTTCCCCTGCACCATTTTGACTTTATTGCATATGTGCTTACCTCCCTCTGGTCCCCTTCCATACACAATCCAGTACGGGAGGAGAGAAGGGAGGGATGTTAATCTCCTTGGAGGGACAATTCTACAATTCCTTGGGTTGTGAAGCTGTAGCTTCCTAGTGAAGCAAACAGGCTTATGCTTCCCAGCTGATCATGCTTACCAATGTATGACTTCGCTTGCTCTCTTCCTATTAATAACTAGCTAATGATGGTAACATCAGACCTGTTTATACATGTAAATATGATTGAAAACCCAAGAGTTTTTCTTAATGGGATTTTATTTATCAGTATTTGCCATATTGAATATTAAAACTAAAAAACTTATTAATTTAATAATAATAAACCTATCTTATCCCCAAGATATTTTTATGATATTTCCCAAAACAAAAAAGCATTGTTGAGAAGAGTGACATTTGTTTACAGTTTAATAGATCTCTTTAATATCTGACTTAAAAGAGCTAGATTTTCCTATCTGCTTTGCATTCGGTTTGTCGCAATATATTATATTTTGTGAAGTGAATGAAGAGAATCTGATCCCATAAAGATAATTTGTAGTTGGAAAGGGAGGGATGTTTTAATAGCATTTTCAGGAAACTCTGGGTATTTCTGTTTGATAGTACATCAGAATTCAATAAGTGATAGTTTCTTAAAAGTCATTTGCCCTATGGAATCTAAAACTATATCATTGAGCGTTTTTTACTCAGTTAATTTAATATCCTTAGTTCATTTCGCACTTTTAAAAAAATCCTCAACTGGGGATTTAGAGAGAGAGGAAATGAAGGGGGGAGGAAGAGAGAGAGAGAAGAGAGAGAGAGAGAGAGAGAGAGAGAGAGAGAGAGAGAGAGAGAGAGACTGATGTGAAGAGAAACATAGATCAGTTTCCTCCTATGCATGAGAGAGAGAGAGAGAGAGAGAGAGAGAGAGAGAGAGAGAGAGAGACTGATGTGAAGAGAAACATAGATCAGTTTCCTCCTATGCATGCCCTGACTGAGGATCGAACTATGAGCTCTGACTGGGAATTGAACCCATGACCCTTCGGTGCATGGGATGATGCTCCAACCAACTGAGCCACACTGGTCAGTGCTTATTTTGTCCTCTGATTGGATCTTTTACCCATGCAGGGAAGCTAGATGAAAAATATACTAGGCTTTATTTATAGTTGGTATTTGAACATTTACTAATAAATAAATTAAAATAAGATAAACTTTTTTATTGGGAAAATTGGGGTAGCCTCTTCCCTATTGGGTGCTGAGGGTGGGGTTCTTATGATATCTTGAGAAAAAGACTTTTCTGAGACTTGCGCGGGAGGAAGAGTACTCTTTGTTTGTGTGGAATTAGTTCTCAGTGTCCAGTTATAGAAGAACTGTATCTGGGGTTTCAGTAGAGCTAGAGCAAAGCCATTGTCCAGAGTTTCTGTTTCGTGTTGCCAAGTTGGTTCAGCATCAGGCTAGTCCATTATTCCACTGAGTGTGTGTATGTGGGAGTGGATTGGAGAGTGGGGGGTTAATTACATAGCCTGGGCCTTGAGGCGAATTCAGGGGAGCAGGAGTTGGGCTCAGAATTCAGGGGAGAGAGCCACACAAGCCAGGACTTAAGCACAACATACCAATAGCACAAGAGAGCGAGAGAGAAAATTCCTTTTGTCAGAGGATTAAATATCCCAAATCTCATGCCCTTGCATTTCCCAATGGGAAAGAAACACATCGATTGGTTGCTACCATCGCACCTCAACTGGGATTGGGGATCAAACATGAAACCCAGGTGCATGCCTTTGACCATAAATTGAACCCACAACCTTCAGTGCTTGGGTCAATGCTCTAACCATTGAACCACAGCAGCCAGGGCTATTCTTCAGTATTTTTAAATACAGAAGCTGTCCTTTACAAAATACTAGAGGCCCGGTGCACGAAATCTGTGAATGGGTATAGTTTCTAGACCTGGCCAGTGTAGTGTGAGCATTTAGCGAGGAAGGGCGGTCCAGCTGACCTCTGGACCCTGGGCAGCACCGGGACCCCCTAGCCCTTGCACTCCCCCTTCCTTCCACCTGAGTCACAGTGCCCGAGTTCCCATGCAGAGATGTAGTGAGCGCGTTCAGACACCGCACACCGGGGTGCAGCCTGGGCCTCTGGAAGTCAGGTGGGAAGCACGCTCTTTCCCAACTGGCCTCGTAGACCAGCTCCTGTGAGAACCCAAAGGGAGCCTGACTGACAGTTGCAGCCTGGGTCACCCAGAAGAGGCTGCACAGATGGGGGGTGGGCTCCTCACGCACCTGAGCACATGGGCTTTCCTGGTGCATGAGCCCTGGTGTCCCAGGGGAGCGTTGTAGGGGGTGTGAGAATGAGCTCAGTAGACACTCTACATTCTCACTACACCTCTGTCCCCATCACTCCTGCTCTCAGCAAGACGGCACAGCACATCGCCGACACCTGCCATGTTTCACACCACCCTCTGGTGGTCAGTACACGTCATTGAGAGTGGTTGAACTCTCAGTCTCTCAGTCAAACGACCGCCCAAGGGGACAATTTGCATATTAGGCTTTTATTATATAGGATTGCTTTGAAAAGTCTCTCAGAACACTGTATGAATCTTCTTATTCAAGCCTCTGAGGCTGTACATTGTTTTAAACTATTTTTTAACAAAATTCTTAATTTTCTTTCTAGATTCTTTCTAATGAACAGATACCACAGTTACTTTGTACCTGTTGTAATTAGCAGGAAATGCAGGTCATGTTGTAGTATTGCACAGTGTTAATTAGTTAAACTCTGAAAGGATGTCTTTTATTCTGCCCCCCTTCAGAATTACACTTAATTTCTTTTTTTTTTTTTTTTTTTACATGTTTTGTAAAGATCACTTTGTGTGTGTTCATGAACCGTATTTGTTTTTTAAATACATTCAATGCATTTTCCTCCTATTATGTTTTTTATTGATTTCAGAGAGAGAAAGGGAGAGGGAAAGAGAGGTAGAAGAAAGAATCATTAATTGGCTGCCTCCTGTGCACACCCCCTTCCTTTGAGCCCAGCCTGTGTCTTGACTGGGAATTGAATGTGACCTCCTGACTCATAGGTCAACGCTCAATCACGAGGCTTTCCCTCATTATATGTTAATCTATTCTTTATGTATGGAATATGGGAAATACAGGAAGTATAAAGAAAAATTAAAAACTACTAATGAACATTCTGAAACAGTCATTTCATTTTTTATAATACACGCACAAGATGTATGTGTATATATATTTTATAACATTTTTACCTAATTTTAGAAAACAAAATTGGGATTCTCATCTGCAAATATTTGAATATAATAAAATGTGAACCTTTCCCACATTATTGAGTGTTTTGGAAAACCTTTGGGCTATATAAGCAATTCTCTATTTTAAGCAATTTATTCAACATTTGTTTTGGACATTTTAGTTACTTGTAAATTTTGCTGTTGGGAATATCACTCAGATAACATCCCTTGTGCACAGACTCTGTCCACATTTCCATCTTCCCTAGGGTTGGTGGGATTAATAATGGCCATCAAGTGGGAGCAAACAATTATTGCCAGTTGCTTTTCATGAAGGTGTGTTAGTATATATTCTCTAAATATTGTATGAGGATGTCTTTTTCTCTGTCCCCTGTAAGCTCTGTTGTTGAATCCCAGGGATAAGAGGTAAGGGATGAGCAGAAGGTGATGCAGCTGGTGTGGACATGGAGACTTCCCACCTGACGCTCTGTGTTCTGTAAGCACAGGGGCAGGTGGCCTGTGAGAGCACACAGGGAGACAGGCAGCAAGTGCTGTTGAGAGAGAAGTCTGTGAGAGTTTATCATCCAGGCTGCTCCCTGTGACTCCCCATGAGGAAATGCTGATGTGGGTCCCAGAGTAACACCTTCTTAATTTGACAAATGTCAAGTTAGGGGCCCAGAGTAAATTTCTCAAATAAAAGCGTTCAATTCAGTTCCCCAAGGTCACCTTAATTTGAATGAGGCTTAGTTTAAGAGTGCTTGGGTTGTAATTCATGACTTCATTTTAACAAATAAGTATTTATTGAGAGCCTTCTCTGTACTTAACCCAGTGCTGGGTGGTGGGCAAACAAAAGAGGCAGATCCCTTCCCTGCAGGACTTCATCTTTAGTTGTGAATAGGAAATATGCACATGAAACATACAACTAGGAATGCAGAGTGGTCCATAGTTAAGTGCTCTAATGAGGGCTAACCATAGTTGATTAGTGGTTTGGAGTAATGAAGATTTTTCATAAAAATGGGTGAGGACTAAGATGGGTAGGAATGAGAGATCTGCTTTAGATAGTGTTCACTTTGAAAAACCTCACCTGAGGGTAGTGGAGTAGTTTTTACTGCTCTCACAAACCTTTCCAGCATCCAGAGGCTCCAGGGTCCTGCCAGGCCTGTTTTACTGATGCATATCTCTGAGTTGTCCTGGCTTCCCTTCTGTGATGCTGACTAGGTTAATTACTCTGCTATAAAGAGCTGAAGAAAAGAGGCTTGTGAGATAATTAACTCTTTGCTAACATTTTTGTACTTACAAGTACATTTAAACTAAGGAGTGACTAAGTCAATTTGGGGATTTACCACTGTCATGTTATCGATTGTATTATCTCTGTTAATGTTTTTCTAACATTTCTTGTTTATGTGGGATTTCAGATTCATGGAAACAACTACTCTCATAAAGTGGACATCTTTTCTTTAGGCCTCATTCTGTTTGAGTTGTTGTACCCATTTGGCACTCAGATGGAGAGAGTCAGGGTAAGTTCTCCCCACCTCAAAAATGGTGGGAAAATAAAATACTCTTCAATTTATAAAAGAATTTAAATGGAGAATAAGTTATTCTTTTTTTTTTTTTTTTTTTTTTGGGGGGGGGGGGGTGTGCCAGTAAGTTATTCTTAACCAGCAGATTGCTTAACTACAAGTGAAGGAGGTGATGTGAGCTATAAGGGAGGATTTGTAGACAGTTTGCTTCCATTTAAAGCTCAATTTAAACAAATTATTTAGTTGAATATTTTAGTTCCTTGTTGTTACTAAAATTGATCCTAACTTAACAGTATCTAATACTGAGTGTCTGTGTAGTAAGTGCAGAGTGAGGGGACCCATGGGATGGGAGTGGTGAAGGGAGTGGTGGCAGCAGTGGGTGGTCACAGGGGCCTGTTCTGGAGGACAAATTGCCACTTACTCATACATTTAAAAGCTGGCAAACTAAGCATACTTATTTTTTCCCCTTTCAAACCACAGCCATGGCTTTTAAGGAAGACAGTAGTGAAAGTGTTTTTAAGTACCTTTGTCCATGTCTTCCCCATCCTTCATTAAATGGTCATCCTCAGCTTTTGTAGCTGCTGTCCCTGGCACTTAACTTAAACTTAAGCTGTTTCCAAAACTTAAGCTATTATCACCATTTCTTCATCAGTTTTAGACCTTACTTATTGACTCCTGGCCATGGTAGAAGAGGATGTAGATTGCCAAAGGACTCAGATCTTCTCACAGATTGCCAAAGGACTCAGATCTTCTAACCATTAGGACCTGTCAAAATGAGTCAATTTCAGAACATCCTAAAAAGCCTCCAGAAAGGGATATTAAACAGGCCCAACCTATGAAAAGGACCAGGAATCATATGGTATCAAAGGACCCTACTAAGGATGTAAAAATACAGTCTATAAAATGGGAGAAGATGTTTGTGAATCATACCTTGTTTCCCCGAAAATAAGACATCCTCCGAAAATAAGACCTACTTACAGGTTTCCTTCTGAGTGAAATATAAGGCATCCCCGAAAATAAGACACCCCGCCCCCTAGGCTAAACATAAGAGATTTGGTCCACTGATTCTGAAAGAAATGGAGTCACAAGAAATTCAGGAATTGGATTGTTATGATGATGTTCCAAAAGATGATGACATGATTGTCATTGAATAAATCAGTAAATTCTTGATACTGTAGGATTCACAGTTTGTCTGGTTTGTGTTGACAACTACCATACTACCGTACCGTATACAGGTAATAAATTTCCTTTATTTTCATTTAACAATAAATGTTACCGTATTCTTCTTCATGGAAAAATAAGACATCCCCTGAAAATAAGACCTAGCACATCTTTGGGAGCAAAAATTAATATAAGACACTGTCTTATTTTCGGGGAAACAGGGTATATCTGGTAAGGTTCTAGTATCCCAAATATATAAAGAACTATTCAATTCGACAACAAAAAGACAATTCAATTTAAAAATGTGGAAAGGACTTACACATTTCTCCAAAGAAGTTTTACAAATGTCCAATAAGCTCATTAAGCCACAATGAAATACTAATCCATACATATTGATGGATATAATAATAAAAAATATAACAAGTGTTGGCAAGGATGTGGATAAATTAGAGCCTTCATTCATTGCTGGTGGTAATTTAAAATTGTACAGCTGCTGTGGAAAACCGTTTAATAGTTACTCAGTTAAATAGTTAAACAGAGTTACATATGACCAGCATTTTTACTCCGAGGTATACACCCAGGAGAAGTGAAAACATATTCACACAAAAAATGGTACAAAGATGTTCATAGTAGCATTTTTTTTAATAGCCAGAAAGTAGAAACAACCCAACCAACTAATGAATGGCAAAACAAAATGTGGTATGCCCAATGGAATATTATTCAACCAAAAAAAAGAGAAAAGGAATAAAGTAATGCCACAACGCAAATGAACCTTGAAAACGTGCTAACTAAAAGATGCCAGACACAAAAGACCAATATTGTATGAATTCATTTATATGAAATATACAGAACAGACAAATCTATAAAGACAAAGTAGATTAATGGTTCCCAGGAATTGGAGGTGGAAGGGGTAGAGAGTGACTGGTTATGGGTATGGGGTTTCTTTTGGGAGATGGAAAGGAAATGTTCTGGAATTAGTGGTGATGGCTGTACATGTGAATAGAATAAAAAAAAAGGTGAGTTTTATTTCAGTTTAAACATGTAAATAAAAAACATTTAGCTGTGCAAAAAAGTTTTGGTTTAGTGAAGTTAGTATTTCTCTTGACCATGCAAATATTGTTCTGGCTAGATCAAGTATACTCTGACTATTTCTTTCTGATGCAATCCTTTTTCCCAGAATTGCCTTTTCTCAATTACGTAGTTTCCTATGAACCTTGGTTGTAATTTTTAACAAGTGTTTAAAATCTGTCAAATATACAGATTTGTCTGTTTTGTATATTTCATATAAATGAATACATACAATATTGGTCTTTTGTGTCTGGCATCTTTCAGTTAGCACAATATTTTCTCTGTATTTCAATATAGCTTATTTACTTACCTATCACTCGGGAAAGTGGGTAAGTAGGTAAGCAGACAGATAGATGATAGCTATCTAGCTAGATTTTTCTTTTTCTTTTTCTGTAGTCTTCTTCTCAAAGCCTTTGTCCTTCACTCTGTTCTGTTCGCCCCTAGACTTTCTATAAGTCATCAGCCAAGGACATACTTTCCTACCTTCCTAGTCTGCCCCACTCCCACCCCTTGTTTCCTGGATTCCAAGATTTCCCCTTTTTTCGCTTATTTTGCTAGAGTATATTCTGCAATAAATTCCTCAGAAGGAATATATGAGAGATACATTTTTAGAATCCTCAAGGATGTGGAAATGTGTGTGTTTTTTTCATCTTCACACATAATTGATAAATAAATTGGCCAGGTTCCAATTCTAGATTGGAATTTCCCTCAGAATGTTGAGGGCATTGATCAACTCATGTAGCTTCCACAGTGCTGCCGTCCAGAAGCTGAATACCTGAATTATTTATCTGAGGTGTTTGACCTGTTTTATTTTTCCCTTTCTGGAAGTTTTAGGGCTTAACCTTTATCAGTGTTGTTATGAAATTTAGTCCTCATTGACCTTTTCCCTCCCCACTCCCTTACTGAGCTTGACACTTGGTAGGTCCTTTCAGTTAAACAATATAAAACCTTCAGGTCTAATAAATTTTTCAAAAATAAATTCTCTAATTTTTCTGTTTCCTTTTCCTGAAATACCTGGCTTAGTCTTAAACACTTAATAATTTTTTCTCCTATTTTCATCTTTTAATATTGTTCTTTGCAAGCGCTCCTTAACTTGCCCAGCTGGTGTGTCTCAGCGGTTGAGCATCGACCTAGGAACCAGGAGGTCACTGGTTCAATTCTCAGTCAGAGAATCAATGTTAGGAATTCTTTCTCATCATTGATGTTTCTATTTCTTACTCTCTGAAATCAATAAAATTACATTAAAAAATAATTCTTTAACTTGTTATTTCAACTTTTCTAATTACTTTTTAATTTTGACCATCCAGTTTTTATTGTTCAAGATTGTTCCTTTTTAATAGCACTTTACTCTTTTTACATAGATTTTTGTATCTTTACTTATTTCTGAGCACTTCAGGTGTGTGTGTGTGTGTGTGTGTGTGTGTGTGTGTGTATGTTCTAAGTTTTCTTCTCCGTGTATTGTCTCTTTCCTCTGGGTTTTTTTAATTTTTTGAAATTAATACAGAGCCACAGGAAGTCGCAAAAGTAATACAGAGAGATTCAATGTGCCACTCACCCAATGTCCCCTAATGGTTACATCTCACATAAATTACAGCACAATAACAAAACCAGGAATTTCACCTGGGTACAACATATGTGAATAGCTCTGTGTTATTTTGCCTCAAGTATAGATTTGTGAAACCACCACTGCAATGTAGACACAGAACTGTTCCATCACCACAGAAACTCCCTCCTGCTCCCCTCATAGTCACACTTCCCACCCTGCTAAAATCGCTAACTCGGGTTTTTAATGATTTTCTTATCATGTTGATAATCTTTACCTGTTCATTCATATTTAGGGATAGGGCTCTCAGGTGGAGACTGGCAGGACTTCACTGTATGGCTACAATTCAGTTCTTATCTTAGGTGTAGTGGAGAACTTCCACATCCACATCTGTAGGATTGATAAGTTGTGTGTGAAGTGGTTTAAAGTCATAAGCAAGTGCCATTTTACATTCCTACACCAGTGTAGGAGAGTTCTGGTCCTTTAACATCCTTGCCAGCACATATGTTTCAGTTGTGGAATTAGATAGTTGTCTTTTTTTCAATTCTAAGTTTTAAATAAAAACCTTTGTTTTAAAATATTGTATAATTAAAAGTTGTTCAGTGAGTTCACTCTCCAGCGTTTACCTGCACTCAGTTTGGTGTGATCCATCTGTTAGCACCTGGAACTCTTCCTCGGGCCTGGTGCACAGGCTCGTCTGGTTAGGTTTCTGTTTTCTTCAAGGGGAAGTAACAAATGACAACCTAATTCTACTTTTTTTTTTTTTTTTAATACACTCCAGCTTCTCCCTCTCTCTCTCTCCCTCTCTCTCTCTCTCTCTCTCTCTCTCTCTCTCTCTCTCTCTCTCTCTCTCTCTCTCTCTCCCTTTCTCCCTCTCTCCCTCTCTCTCTCTCTCCCTCTTTAATTTCAATTTTTTATTTTTATTGAATTTATTGCGGTGACATTGATTAATAAAATTTTATAGGTTTCATAAGTACATTTCTACACTACATCAGCTGTATATTGTATTGTGTTTACCACCCAATTAATGTCTTCTTCCATTTATCCCCCTTTACCCTCTTTCTACCTCCACACACTCCTGTTTCAGCTTATTTCTTAAGAAATATAAACACTTATTTGCTTTATTTCATTTCTAAAAATTAGTTTTGTCTAAAGGGGACATATGTAATACTTTCAACAATAAAGAATTATTAAAAAATAAAACAACAACAAAACTGGTTTTGTCCTCATTACAGAAGTACTAGGTTAATGGGAGAGAAAGGAGGACCTATGTAATACTTTCAACCATAAAGATTTTTTTTAAGTTAAGATGAAAAAGAAAAAAAAAAGTGCCAGGTACTATGCAAGTACTGACTTAAATTAACCTCATTTAATTCTCACAGTTGTATAGGATGGGCCCTATTGTTTTTGTTTTGTAAACTAGGAAACTGGAACATGAAGAGTAATAATTTATCTGAAAAATCCTCAGACAGCTTTAAAAAGCTTAGTTTTATATTCTGTATTTAGCATAATTGTTTCCATAACTCAAAAAAATAAAAAGGAAAAGAATATGCTTTTTTTTTTTTTTAATCAAGTGCAGAGATGTTAGAAACTAACAAGAAAGGTTACCCACTGAAGGTCACCAGGTTCCTGAGAGCTGAGTCACTTTGGTACTCATCAGCCTGTGCTCAGGCGCAGGCCAGGTCTTGGCACCATGCACGTAGTTCAAGTGTGATTACACCTGAGTGAGTCTCTGGTTTTGGTGATTGGATGGTGTGTGCACCTGGGTCCAGGAAACACTGATGTATAGGCTATCATCTGGAAAAGCTACTGTGAGTTCTCCACCCCTTAATATTCACCCTCTCTCCTTGGTTGTTCCTCTAAAGTATCAAAAGTACTTTATGTTAAATAGATCTCTATATCAAAATAGATTTAAAGGTAAGTAACACCTTTTCTTTCTTTTTTAGGTCTTAACTGATGTAAGAAATCTTAGATTTCCACCACTGTTTACTCAGAAATATCCTCGTGAGGTTTGTATAATTCTCATCTTTTCTTTAGAAACATATTTAGAACTTAAAGAGTCCTTAGCGGTCATTTCGTCAATTGCCCCATTTTACTGATGAAGCTACAGGTGTAGGGAGGACAGGAACCTGTTCCCAAGAGCAAGACTTAAATCAAGACTGGAGCTCGTCAGGGCCGTGGGCCTGGTCTGTGCTCCCAAGCTGCTGGCATTCTGCCTATGGATTGTGGCCACCTTTCCTTTCCAGCAGGACTGAGTTGCTGTTGTTACCATGCCATTAATTGCTTTATCTTTGTGAATTTGGGGATCGATCTTAAACAGTGGCTTCTTTGGGGTGGGGGATACTAGGTCCTACTGATTGTGTGTTGGAGTCAGATGGCTCAGAATGCCACAGGGGAATGTCAGGAAAGGGGCTGGGACGTAAGCTAGTCTTGGATGGTGAAAGTTATATGTGATGAACCTTTGACAGTTTATTTTTTCAGCTTTTAAAATTTTTATTTCATAAAATGTTTTTCCACATACACTTTAAAATTTATACATTGATTACTCTTGAATTTTCTTAATTAAGTTGAATAAATTAGACTTATCACAGATCGAAGTTATAAGTATAATATTATATTATAAGTATAATATAATATTATAAGTATAATAAGTATTATAAGTATAATATTATAAGTATTATAATATTATAAGTATTATAAGTATAATAAGTATAATATTATTATACTTATAAGTATAATAAAGGATTATAAGTATTATAAGTATAATAAAAGATTGCATTAAATGAATTTTATAATAGATACACTAACCTAAATGAAATATACATATATATTAAATATCTTTTTTTAAATATTTTTTTATTTTATTGATTTTTTTACAGAGAGGAAGAGAGAGGAATAGAGAGTTAGAAACATATAGAGTTAGAAACATTGATGAGAATCATCAATGAGCTGCCTCTTGCACACCCCCTACTGGGGAATATGCCCGCAACCAAGGTACATGCCCTTGACCGGAATCGAACCCGGGACCTTTCAGTCTGCAGGTGAACGCTCTATCCACTGAGCCAAACCGGTTTTGGCTGAAATGTATTTTTTACTAAAAATCATTTTGCTATATATTTCACAGATTTAATCACTCAATTCCAAAGGTGGCTCATGAGAATATGTTACATTAAAGTCAGATTATGTCTGTGTTTCACTGATATGATTTAGGACTCTTTATTACATGTTAGATAACACAATGGCCCATATTTACTTGGAGCAGGAGTTGGCTAAGTCTAGCCTGCTGCCTATCTAAAAGCCTAATATGCAAAGTGTCCTCTCTGGAGTTTGACAGACCAGGAGTTTAATCTCTCACTATGACATGCGCTGACCACCAGGGGGCAGCACAGGACAAAGGAAGGCCCCGGCTGGCAGCCAGCAGCCACTGAAGACCCTACTTGTGCATGAATTTTGTGCACTGGGCCTCTAGTTTTTGGAATAAAGGTTTGGGACCCAGCCATGCCCATTTGTTTGCATACTGTCTGTGGCTGCTTTTGTACTGCAGTGGCAGAGCTGAGAAGTTGCAGCAGAAACTGGCTTGCAAACTAATATATTTACAGAAAAATTTTGCTGACTCTTGAACTAGGGGACTGTTTAGTGTTCTACATCTGACCCATTTATCACAAAACAATTTTTATGTTTCAGTATATGATGGTTCAAGACATGCTCTCTCCATCTCCCATGGAGCGGCCTGAAGCTGCACACATCATTGAAAATACTGTATTTGAGGACTTGGAGTTTCCAGGAAAAACTGTGCTCAGGCAGAGGTCCCGCTCTGTGAGTTCATCAGGAACAAAACAGTCAAGACACTCCAGCGACTCCCATAGCCCTTTGCCAAGCAGCTCACCTTAGGTTATGCTTATGCCCTCACAGGTGACACAGAATAGTCTCTGCTTAGGATGTGACCTTCCAAAATTGTAGACTTGAGAACTTTGTTTTTTGCTCATTTTTATTTTGAACTACTTTTTCTAAGTCAAATTTAAACTGAATTTTGGGGCATAACCTAATTTGAGCCAACTCTTGATTTTTGCTGTCCTTGAGGAGAGAACTACCACTAAATCATGTGTGGTCCTTTTTCTTGGTGGATCTCTTGCTTGACACTGACTGGTGATACTTTGTAGCCCTCACCTATTGCCTGGAAAGGTCAAGCAATCCCTAAAATTAATAGAGAGATATTTTTATACTGTTTTTGGCTGCTTTTGTACTGCAGTGGGAGAGCGAGAAGTTACAGCAGAAACTGGCTTGCAAACAATATATTTACAGAAAAATTTTGCTGATTCTTGAAATAAGGGACTGTTTAGTGTTCTTCATCTGACCCATTTATCACAGAATCATGAAAATCCCTACATATGGTAGCAATATTGTTCTAGAAATATACTTTCTAGAAATACTGCTGATTTTAAGACTGATTTCCAAAAAGCTGACTCCATTTTTGTCCCTGGTGGGTAAATCGGGAATCTGCACTATTCAGGAAGACAAGTAGCACAAACTGCACAATGGTTTATGTCCATAGCTAGTCCTGTAGTGGCCTTTGTAGCATTATAGCTGTGTTTCTCAGATGGTTCTGGGAGGGTGTAAGAGCTCTGTACTTTACCTCCAAAAAAGGGAATGAAGCTTTTATGTAAATTGTCAGAAGTTCTGGTTTGGGGATGAAAAAAGGCCATAGCAAGAAATTAATCACATTTTATGCTTAACTTTTTTACTTATGGACTTTAAACCGAATAAAATCTTAAGTGTCTTATATGTAATTCTATAGGCAGATAGTTTCTCAAAACTGATTATAGAAAACAGTTTAATCATCTAACTTGTTTTTTTTTTTATTTTCACTGTAAATAAGTTTATTTTTTATTTATAAAAATTCTGAACTCAATCCATTTGGGTTGGTGGTACATAGAACACACTTAAGTGTGTTAACTATTGTGACTTCTTTCAAGTCTAAATGATTTAATAAAACTTTTATTAATTACTTATGGTTGACTCTGATTTGGGGGAATTAGCTCCAAACGGTAGTTTTTCAAATTTATAAAATGTGATCCTGTATCTAAGAAGGGTCATTACCTTCAGACTCACCCCCAGCCTGTTCCAAACACGTGTCTTCTCTGTTCTTTTCCAAAGATTTGACCAGGGCCTTATCCTTTTCAGAACCCAAGGGCTGAGTCCAGAGACCTGAGCTCAGCCCCACTCAGCTGGCCTGGGCACTGAAGAGGACCCTGCCCGGGAGGGAGACCTCAAGGCCAGGGCATGGCCTTGCTGGCTTTACTGATGCCACTGTGTGTCTGATGTGTGCCACGTGAAGGCTCGTGGCATGCTGAGTGATTAGTACATCCTAGCCAGACAATCTTTAAGGTCAAGGTGCATGCTTACTTCCATTTCTCAGACAGGTAATGTCTGTCCCACAAAATTATGAGCAGTTTGCAAGCTGGAAATCACGTCACAGACATGGATGGCTGCGAAAAGCCAATTCCAGCATGTCCTAATTGCAAGAGTTTCATCGAAAGGTTGATGGAACTTGGGGACTCAACAAGGGCTGAGTCACATATTTTATCACCTGTTGGGAATGGCTAAAGGCATTTCCCCAAACCTGAAAAGGATGCATTAAATTGATGGTTTGCTGCCAGACAGCTCAGGGCATCTTAATCTACATGTTATTGACTCCTGTTGGCCAACACATGAACAGCCAAAGACAGTTCCCCAATCTGACAATGCTTCTGTACTAAACCCTACCCTTTGAAGTGTATATCTCCACCTGGCCTTAGAACAATTTGTGTTAATAAAAAGCAAGGGGTCATGAGATCAGAAGAACTTGGTTTCCTCAGCCAAGCTTCTTTGCCCACCTGCCCAGTATGCCTTTCAAAATTATGTTTTGTCTCTGGACTCTTTATTAATTTATGCACAGCCCCTTCTCCAGGTTTGCTGCACCCTTCCAGATGCCAGATCAAGACCACCAGTGTTTAATGGCACCCAATGTCCAGCATTAGATGGCCTCTATTCAGACCTCGACTCCTTAGTGCAGCCTGACCATCATCTTTGTCCCCAGGCTCCATCCCACCTCTCTTCTGTTGGTCAGCCTGCTTCCATTGCTCCTCCCCTACTTCCTTCTTCTTCACCCCCCAGTTACAGCTGCAGATCCTGCAGTCCTCACAGGTACCCTGAGGGCTGTCCTTGGCAGGTGTTAGAATAGATGTTCTACCTGTGGGGAAGCTCAGGTCCAGAAAGATGTTGAGCTTGCCCCAGATCACAAAGCCAGGAAGAGCAGAACTGGGACCAAACCACTATTATTCTGACTTCCAGTCAGAGTTTTGCCTACTCCCCGTCCCACACTGTCTTAAGCATTTGCAAAATTTTTGCACAATATAATCAGTCCTGCCTTCATTTTCATTCTGTTTATGCCTGCACTGGCCTCAGGAGGAAAGGAGACACAGGAAGTTCAGGACGACCAGCAGAACCTAGCGAGTCTTTGATGGCAGACAGAACAGTGTGTTCTCATCCAGAGCCCTTTCTGCTGACTCCAGACCTACTCTCCTCTCAAGTCATTGCTTTTCTGATATCTTTCTGAGCCCTTTCCTTCACACTTGCCTCTCCTTTAACCACTTTGTGCCTAACAACACTTACCATGGTCATGGCCACAGTAATTGGTCCCAGGGCTATGGGCACACCTTGTGATGCCAGCAATGCCTAGCATAAAACCTAGTCCTGGATTATATATTTGTGGAATTGAATTTGAAGAACATAACTCTGACATAGCTGCAGGAAATAGCCAAATCTGGAATGTGCCAGTCACTGCAATAAATATTTGGCAAAGGTTTAAGGAGAAAAGGTGTTTGAACAATTCCAATGCTAAAAACAGATAAAGGCTCAAATTGTGAACGTTTTCTAAAGGAAGGAGATCTTATGCTTTAATTGTGTGTGTGTGTGTGTGTGTGTGTTTTATTTTTGTTAATCCTCACCTGAGGATATTTTTCCATTGATTTTTAGAGAGAGTAGGGGGAGGGGTGGAGAGATGGAGAGAGAGAGAGAGAGAGAGAGAGAGAGAGAGAGAGAGAGAAACATTGATGTGAGAGAATCACATCTGTTGGTTACCTCCCCGACGTGCTCTGACCGCACAGGGGATGGAAACTGCAACCCGGGTACTACATCCTTGACTGAGAATCGAACCGTAAACCCTTCAGTGCACAGGCCAATGCTCTGTCACTCAGCCACATCAGCCAGGGCCCTTATGCTTTAATTTAAATGAGGGGAGAAATGACCTGGGACACTTAGCATCCACATAGCTCAGTCCCTTTTCTTCCTCTTCGACTGGAGGGTATCACACCCCACCTCCATCTGGGCCTGCACACATCCCCCAGGGTCCATGTTCTGCCTTTCAGTGGGGTGACAGTTCTGATGTGAGTATTGGTCTCCAGATCAGAAAGACTAGGAGGTCTGTCTGAAAATTAGCTACCTACCCTGCTCTTTGCCTCCAGTAGCCGATAGAAAAATGGAAATGTGTTATGTTTGGGTGGTTTCCTTTTTCCATGTGATTTCTCATTGATACTTTGGGTGCATTTACACCAAAAGCTATTGTTTCTCCAAAGAAGTGGAGGAGCTTCCAGTGTAACCACCACCAAGGGCTAAGTCGGAACTCTGGATGCTTCCTGGCCCACCTCTGGGCCCCTGCTCTTTCCACAACTAGATAATGCAGGGCATTGCTTAAGGAGACTTCCCCCTCCTGGACTCTGCCCCTGCTGAGAAGTAGCTGCCACTAGATGGCTCATTTTCACCTTTCCCACAGAAGTAAATAGTTGAGGGCTGAAATAAAAACCTTACTTCCACCTGTCGGGATAGTCCCTCCTCCAAACACAAGGATAGCATGACAATCATGATTAGAGGTGACTGACCTAAACATACCTACCAAGTCCCACAATGTTTTTGCCATGAACTGCCTTTAAGTTCCTCAAATGGGCAGTGACTTAAAATGATAAATATGGGAGCAGCGTGCCCAGTACTTCCAACAGTCGTGGGTCCCTACTCCCTCGGGAAGGTTTGAGGGGAGGGCAGGAGTTAGGAAAACTTTCTCAATAGTGCCAGCACAGAGAAATGGATCAATTTGAGAATATTTTTGAGGAGAGAGTCTGGGACTCTGGAATTAACTGGATACAGATGAAGGAGGGGAAATGGCTCCTGCTTTGTGGCTTGACCTTTGATAGAGGACAGGCGTTCTCGTGAAAATGATGAGTTCACAGAACTGTGAAGAAAAGTTGGGGTTTTACTGGACAGAATGGGAAGCCCTTGAAAGTCTGTGAGCTGAGGAAGGATATGAGATGCTGAGATCACTGCGGCAAGTGAGGAGCGGGTAATGGCAGAGAGGAGCCAGGACAGAAACTGGCAGAGGCCTCTGTCCAGCTAGCGGTCAGAGGACCCAGCCACGTCATTGGGAGCCCAGAGACATCCCGGGACCCGTGGCTAAAGGTATGCTGGTCCTCAACAGCCAGAGGCCAACCTCTGTTATTGCCTTCTAGTGTGGAAGTTTTAATAATTAAATTTAAAAAAATATTTTTTATTTTTTTCTGAGAGAAAGGGAGAGAGGCATTGATTTGTTGTACCACTTATTTCTTCATTCATTGGCTGATTCTTGTACTAGTATGTGCTCTGACCAGGGACTGAACCTGAAACCCAAGCAAATTGAGGTGAGGCTCCAACGAACTGAGCTGCCGGCCAGGGCTAGTGCAGACTTCTGAAGGATTTCTTCAGGGCTGCTGCAGTGTGTGGCTGGGCACATGCTGCCTTCTGAAATGACGTGAGCTTTCAGAAGGCACCCAGAGACATTGTCAAAAACAGGCAGGGGAATGTGGGTGGAAAGAGGATTGGAAATA